CAACATCCCTCGTATGGGGGTACATAGACGTAACTTTCGCTCCTTTTTTGGCATTCCAGGGGCCGCTCAGCCAAAACGAAGCCCACTTTTATGGTTCATGGGCAAGGCCCTACAAAGTGCAATAAACCGTTTCGAAAAAGCGGGGCACGCCCTGAACGACCTTCCTGGTCAGAGGAAAGCGGAAATGCAGAAGAAACGGTTGAAATAGAGGCTTCCGGTCTTTGGGCAGGTTTCCAGTTTTTCCGGCTTCATACTATTACAGGGGCTTTGCCATTGGCGATGTGGGCGCAGCATTCACAGTAGGATTCAACTAAACGGAAGCGGCATTTCTGCAGCTTTTTGTAGAATTATTTCAGATGGTCTTTTTTAACTTCAGGTAGTGAAAGCTCCAACGAAATCCGAGAAGTTGAAAGAGCGTCAGTTCACTCCCACACCGCCGTCTTCTGACGATGAGGATAAGCATCACCAAAGGAGAAGAAGAGAAAAAACAGAAGAGAAACTGGATAAGCGGCGTATAAGTAATGATCGCAAGGAGAGTACAGATGTGAGTTCTCGCGTCTTTTTCGCATTTTCTTGGGTAAAAGGTTACGGTACTGGATTAATTTTGTGTTATTCCAGTCTCTTAAGAAGAGAATAGAGCCGAAAAAGGATGACAAACAACAGCGATTGATTCGTTTGAAGGAGATATTGAAACAGCGTAATGGTCCAGAACAAATCGAGGAGTTCAGGAGACGGTATTTGGAAAGGAAGGAAAGCGGAATCGTCGTACCTCCTTTGTAATGTGATTTTGAATGTATATACAGTGAAAATTGTATATGAGCCTGACTTTCAACCGAATTTCGGCCCGACTCTTTCCCGCATCTTTGTGGCAAGTTGTGTATAGTTTATTTGTTGAGGATAAAAGTTTAAGTGATAAGGTGCTCAGTGAGATAGGACTGGAATTCGGCTTTCATGTGTATCGCAGTAGCGTTTAATTACTTCCATTATGGGCTTCTAGGAGGCTGAGGTGGTGTAGTGACAAGTGACACGCTTACTAGCCGCGCGGTTCAGGGTTCGAATCCCGTTGACTCCCGCCCAGGCCAACCAAGCCTTCTACCCTCCGGGACGGCAAATTCGGTAACAAATTCGTTTGGGAAGTTAAGAACACTGAAATGTACATTGGTTGGCCTGCGCAAGGCAATGAATAGGACTTTGCATTCAATAAGCCGATACAATCCTGAATGGAAGTGGAATGATATCGTATCCCAC